CGTGAGAAGGAATTTAAGGTATTTATGTTTCTAAAATTTAAATTTTAGTGCCTTTTATTGAATGTATCTAAGCGTACTAACAGGATATTTTTGTTATTGATTAAAGGAACTAAGCGCCCAAAATAAGGAGAGGGTGGCCAAGAATGAATATCCTTACAGAGCAGGGAGGTTAGGGTATGTAGGCGTGGAGCAGAAAGAAGTGAAGGCCGAGGGATCGGATGTTACCATATCTCGCCAAAGACTCTAGGCATTGGCACTAACAAATAAAGATAGAGTGATTGACAACCCTCGTGTGAAAGAGGTTACTGAAAAAATTGTAAGTGTTATTCTTATCTATCATTTAATAAATGATTATTAAAATGCATACTAATTAGCTCTACTTTTCACAGGATTCCCTCTCTCAAAAAGCATCACAAGGAAAGCTTCCTGAGCATGAGGATATCTTAGCTAGAATGTTGGGGACCTCTGACCACCCTGGTCGTGTTAGGGGTGTCGGCTTCGGTGTCACAAAGAAGCAATACTTTGGCAAAATTAAGAAGCAAACATCGGCTTCTTTATTCAAGGTCCAAGAGTTGAGAGAAGAGCAAGCTGTTATAAAGCAACAACTAGAAGCCTCGGCGAAGTTAATTGACATGCTATTGAAGGGGCAGATCCCTGGGAGGCTTTTGGCTGACATTAGCCCTAGCAGAAAAGATAGCTGCACAGTCCCTTCAGACACCTGAGGTAATGCATTTTCTCTTCTAAATTTTCTTAACTAATTTTTTGTCTAAACAACTGACATTCTTCATTTATTTAGGGCGAGAATGACTGCAACTGTTTAGCAGACGATCCGTCATACAAAGTAGTTGCAACGGGACGCGTGTATAACATTGCCGGGGACACAATCCATAACCTTCCCCTCCCACCCGATTGCATTAGGGTTTTCTTGCTTGTTGCAATCAACCCCAAGTATCCATTACCTTATCCTACCGATGAGATGTAGACCGTAAGAGATGCATTGGGGAGCTTCGTTGCATGGCCCAGCTACCTTGTTATGATTGGTACACCAAAGCCGACAAAGGACCTAAAGCCGCCAAAGGACCCCTTGCCAACAAAGAAAAAGGTATATATGATTTATATAATTATTTATAATCTTTAATATATATATATATATATATGTCTAACTTTTTCATTGTATAGCCAAGGGGGAAAAGCAAATTGAAAGGCAAGGTGTCAGGCCATACTAAAGAGTCAGCCACGATTTCGCAACATGTAGTGCCTATGCCTGTTGTAGAAAACAAATTCCGTGACTCTCTTGAGACCTATGCTTCAGTTACGAGGATGATTCGCCAAGTTTCGATTAGGGATATCATTAATTTTGATGATGGGCTATTTGGTAAAGTATCATTTGAAGTCATTCGGGATGAAATTTTGAATGAAATCCTCAAGCACGATATGGCGAGCACTAATTTGATGACTTTCTACATAAGGTAATTCTTCAAGATTTATTAGTTAATTTCTTGAATTATTTATGTGTGTGAGTATGTAAGCATATTAACTTATATATTTTTTCACCCAAGTCACCTTTATACCTCATTCATGGTTCCTAGTGGCCTCAAGTTGAAGATCAAGTTGGTTAATCCTCATGATGTCTCTCTCCACAATCATATTACAAAGGAAGCCCTTGAAAATCAAGCAAGAATACTTTCGGATCAATTTCGAGAAAGGGGAGCAGCGAAGGATACTTTATTTCTCGCTCCTTACTGCCAAGGGTAAGTTGTTAATATTTGTTACGAGTAAATATTTTTTTATATTTATTTGTTTGGTAACATGTGCTGTTTCTTGTTAGAGGACACTGGATGCTTATTGTGGTTAATCTCGTTGCTCCAAAAATATGGTATCTCGATCCCCTTAATGGAGAGCCAAGCAACAGGGAAGATATGGTGGTACTTTTTAATGAGTAAGTTGGATTTTTTTACTTGTTATTTCTTTTTATTTTTAGTTTTCATTCATATATATTTCTCACATTCATTTCATAATTCCTTCTTAGAGCTGTGGTGTTGTATCGCACTGCGATCGATATGACTGTGTCCCCTAAGATGAAGGCATTCGAATCTTCAAAGAAATGAGTCACTATTAAGATATTCATTCAATTGATTAAGTTTTTAATCAAGAAACTGTCTCATTATATTTTACAATTTCATTGATATGTGTTTTTTTTACAGTGTCCATTCCAACCAGGTCAAAGTAATGACTATGGTTATTACTTAATGAAGTTCATGAAGGACATTATCACTCATGCCCCTACCACATTATCTGACAATATATATATATATATATATAATTTAATTACACTTCAATTATAAATTTTAAACAATTTTAATTAGCTACCTATTAAATTGAAATTGTTGTGACTATTTGCTTACAGTACTTCGAGGACGTCTATTGCGTTCGTTATAAGGCTGCACATGTAGAAGAGGTCCTTGAAGAGGTAGCCCAATGTGTTTTTAATATGTGGGTAGCAACAGTAGTTAGGCCGGTACAATAGTTAGTTACATTTATATACACATTTTTTGGGCCAATTTTTATGGGATAAGCCACTTAGTTTTGGAACATTAGTTTGCAAATAAGTTGAGCATAAAATTTTTAGATTTTAAGGTTAAATGTATAGGAATTTTTATGTTAATTAGATAGGAGATACTATTATAAATATTTATTATATTGCATTATTTTCGTTGCTAGCTGGCTAGTTTTTATCTTTATTTGTATCTTTATGCAAGGGGCTGCTGTTACCATATTTAAAAAAATTATGCCATAAATACTTGACGGTTATTTCAAAATAACCGTCAAGTATCAATATACTTGACGCTTGTTTCAAAACAAGCGTCAAGTATTTGTAAATACTTGACGATTATAAGGAAACAAGCGTCAAGTATTTATGACCAAACAAACTGGCAGGTTTTGGCCATCAATACTTGACGCTTGTTTTCTTATAACCGTCAAGTATTTACAAATACTTGACGCTTGTTTTCTTATAACCGTCAAGTATTTACAAATACTTAAACAACCGTCAAGTATTTATTCTGAAAAGTACATATTTAGTTCATATACTTGATGGTTTTTTTCAAATAACCATCAAGTATAAGATTAATACTTGACGGTTAAAAAATGTCAAGTATTATTTCTTTAATATATGTCGCACTCTTATTTGTCAGTTAAAAACTGTCAAGTATTTAAAAAATAAGCGTCAAATATGGATATTTTTTGTGGTAATGAATACATAGCCCAATAATATTGAATCTAACCCTATACATAATAACTCTAATACCCTCCTTTTTAAATATTTTCTTTCCTCCTATTTTATTTCCCTTGTCTAAATATTTTTATTTTTGTAATTGAATATAACTTTTTGAGAATTAAAATTTTTGCATGCTTAAGGTAAATTTGATTATCTTATCTTCAAGAAAAGTGTACTCTAGATTGAAGGTTTACAAATGAAAAATTCATCAGTTGAGGAGGGTTGGGCTTGCGAAATTTTCTTTCTACCAAACAACTTTCTGAAGTTCTTTGTATTCCAGTAAGACTTTAATCATTCTTGTTTGACAGACTATGCTTCAGGATAAAGATCAATCGTCAGGGGAAGGGCAATGGTAAAACTTACAAGAATTCCAACAGCACCTTGCCACCAGAATGCAGGAGCTAGAGCGTATTTTATACTTGAGAGAGCCTCACTGGTGCCTGCTTATGTTGGAAAGATGCTTGTTTTATTTTTTTGGCTGTAACCTGTGAACTAGAAAGTCAGTTTTTCAAGTAAATCACTTAATCTCCCTGTTTCAAAGCCTACTATCTCTTTTTGTGTTTGGTTTCTTTCACATTGCAAGGAAAAGAATGGAGTCCCCCCCCCCCTGAAAGTTACCCTTTTACCCATCAACTCTTGCAAAATAGGTGAGTTTTTATAATTTGGAAATATGGAAGTGTCAAATTCTGCCGTGAAAATTCCCTTACATGTGCTGTTTTTGGCCTTTCTTCCAGTTCACCATAAAAGATGATCAATTAAGGGTTTATATCGGTGCATCTAATCATGATGTGAACCTTGACGCTTAAAATCCCTTTATAAACATTTTCAATGTTAGGTTCATTTTTCCATTTTACCAATTTGACTATTGTAAGAAACTATTATTCAGGTTGCTGCAATGGCTTGTGGAAAAACTGACGCTGATTGCATTGATGAAATTATATCAGGTCGATCTTCAACAATTGTTTTCATTAAAAATTCATTTTCTAATTGTATGTTTAGTCAGCAATGTCGATATATTTTATTCGATCGGATACAATGCTATCTACCCGTGTTATATGCTTGAGAGTTCTTCTGAGTAGAATGGTATAATGCTAAATTTAAAATGCATGACAGTTGTGTGCAGACTAGATAACCATAACCATAATTGCCTGCAGTTTTCTCCACTCGTCATGTGGTGTAATTGCATTCATTCCTGATTTGCATTTTGTGGGCTAGGACCACTAGCGAGCTAATAAGGACCTTTTTCCCAAACAAGAAGGTCATAATGAAGGGTGCAATTGATTTTCTTTTAAACGAAACAATCCTCCACCCAAACAAGCTTCCATTTCCAGTTTCAAACCCCACATATTGCACTAACACTGTTCATGAGGGACCTACAATATGCATATACTGAACTACTTTCCATGTTTTTTTTTCCTAACCAATGATGGTTTCTAACAGGATTTCATGTTTTGACCAAATGAATTGAGATGAGTGAGACTTTAATTTAACGTGTTAGTCATCTGTTAAAATTGAGATAGGAATTTAACAGAATCTCTTTGTTGCTTTGCCAGACGACACAACTCCTATTAGTTAATATTGCTCCGGTTTTGTTGCTTTCTAGTTCATTCTATACGTTAATTGCTAGAATTGGAGATGTTTTCTCCAGAGCTTTGCCGTTGCTCTAACCAGGCGTGATGAATATTTGTCAGTTTTAAATCTGAAATTGAATTGTCTTGCTATGTAATGTAAAATCACTTTCCTGAGATAGGAATTGCAACGCAAGTTGCTTCTGCTCATTTCTCAGTACATGTTAAGGCGCATTGTGTGGGATAACTCAACAATGCTACAATTGCGATAGATACCTAGATGGAATCCTACACTGTTACATAGGTATATATATATATATATATCATATATTATATATTATAGGACGTCGCAATTTCATATTTTATTTTTTCTTCCCTCCCTTTCCCATGAGGATGAACATGCATGGCTGATAGGAAATTTGGTGATTGCGGACTCTTTTGCGAGAAGTCATGCATCACAGCCTGATGTGGATGAAAGTTTCTTGACTCTTGCCAGACAATTGTCCGTGGGCCTCGTGTGGGGCAAGTATCTCACAGGGCATTTAGGATTAGCCTGTTCAAGCCTGTACAGCAATAGCAAACACATCAACAATTGTTCATACTATGTTGTGTCGTCATTTTTTGTGGTCTATTGTTTAACCTAAGACTTTTTATCTAATGATATTGCTCCGTCTAGAAGGATTAGGAAGAACAAATGAGTTGGTAAATTGACAGGAGCCTCACTGGTAATTGAGAAGAAAATGATGAAGAAAAACTGCTATTTCCATCTTGGCAAGATCATTTCCAGGACACATTCTACTTCCAGCTCCGAAGGGGAGGAATTCTCCAGCCTTGTGTGCCGAGGCCTTTTCGTCCGCATCAACCAAATTGACAAGTTAGATGACAGCGCACATACTGATGTTAAAAGTTAAATACAAGTAAAAAAGAGAGAGGAGAAAAAGGACTCGACACTAGTTTGGTTCCTGATGTGTTTGGTTTAGATTCTTCACAAAGACGCCCGATAGTAGATTTTTATCTACATAAAATAAAATTTATAGTGGCTTATTTAGTACCAAAAAAATTATATAATTTAAGATCGCAAAATTGGTCATGACCCAAACAAAAAAAGTATTTACAAAATATTTTATAACAAATGTTTAAATAATTTGAGTTATAAGTTTTATGCACAACAAGAAGGCAGAAACCTTACATTCCATCTAGAGGGATTGAATTCCTTGGGATTGGGATATATCTCAGGATCGAGGTGAACAGTCCTAAACCATACAAGAATTTTCCAACCTTTGGGGACGGTGTAACCTGAATCATCCAAGTCCAGTTAGTAACATGAGATATTGAGATAAGAGGAAGAGATATACAGCAGAGAATCCGAAAGACCGTTGATATTGACGTCTGATTTAGCCTCTCGAAATACCACCAATGAGAATGTTATCAGGCGCAGTGTTTCATCAATTACCTGCGCAATATTAAAAGAGGATAAAATTGAATCACCGAAAATTTGTGGTGTAATTCTAAGAATCATCAACATCCTAATCTAGATTTTGATATGCCTTTGAAAGATAATCCATCTGCCGAATCTCCTTGAGGGTCAACCCCTTCTGAGTCGGCGGCCTCCTCTTGATGATCTCCTCTTGCTCTGCCTTCGCCTCTTGTAAATACTCTGGATGCCTCTGGAGCATTACGGTGGCCCACATGGTGATATGCCCCGAGGATTCATGGCCAGCATTTAGGTACATCATCATCACATCGATTATTTCCTCATCACTCAGTTTTCTTCCACCTTCATCTTCAACATCCATCAAAGCATCCATCATGTCTTTTGTTTCTCCGCATGAATTCTCCTTCCTCTGCTTTCTTCGCTCGTCCACTATCGATTGAAACGTGGCCACCAGATTCTTCCTGGCCTGAGATTCCACACTCAAACTTGTCATTAAATTTTGGAGAATCAGAATGAGAATTAATTAATCAGTTCCCTCCTTGACTTACCTTGAGTGCCTTGTGGTACGCGAATCCAGGAAGATTAATTCCCATGGCCCTAACTCCATAGTTAAGCGTTGTATATTCCCTCTCCAGAGCTTCCATCACAGGCTCACTCTCTGAACTAAGGAAGATGTGCATGATAATTTTAAAAGTGAGCTTTCGGAGCTCAGTTAAGAACTCAATTTGTTCCATGGTGGACCATTTCTCCAACGAAGTCTTCACGAGTTCTTCAATGTATGTCAAGTACAAGCACAGAGATTCCATGCCATTGATGGAAGAAGAAGTCAAGCGCCTAAGGCGCCTGTGTTCTTCGTAAGAAATCCCGATGAAGGATTTCTTCCCAATGAGCTCAACGGTGGAACGGGGCCAACCAACTGTGAATTTCTCATCATCCGTCAAAACTCGTCTGCATGTTTCCGGTGTGGTCACTATCACACTCGGACTCCCAAACATCAAAACCTTGTATATTCCGGTACGTCCGTATCTACAACACATTATTCAACGTTCATCACAAACTCATCACTTTTGTCAGAAACTTCTGAGCTTAGAGACGCTTGCGGGGTTGGCTGATGTTTTAACGGAGTCAATTTATTGTCAACATTTCAAAATATCGTGGTTAAGTGTTTTTGTCTCAGCTTTGGTCCTTGTTAGATCTAAGTTTATCACGAATTTTACCCGGAGAGTTCATGACGAGTACACTGCAACTACAATCATATTTAATATTACATACACAAGTGTAATCTAATAAGATGAAAGGATGTCCGTCATAAACATGCAATTAACACTAAGGCGTCTATTCAAAACACGGAGACAGTCCAAACATATTTGATGAAAGGCGCATGGCTTTTGGTGTCATGGGCAACGGAGATCAGAATATTAATCCAAATATCCAAGTGTCGGCGAGTCGAGAGTGGAAGCATATGTGGTTGGCAATATTAAAAGGAGATAGGAGGAGGGTTAAAGGAGGAATTAATTAATGAGATATATGGAGGAATTACCAACAAGCATGATGGGAATCACGTGAGGCCCACAAGGGATGATGACGGTGATGAAAACAAAGCGGGAGGGACGAAACAAGTTGAAAGGTTTTGTCGACAACAGGTAGAAGACAGAGAGCAACGAGTAGGTAGAGAACAGAACAAGAGAGCAGGTGTTGATGACAAAACAGCGTGATTAATGAGAAGAAGAAATTACCTGGAGATGAAGGAGGAGAGGAAGGAATCAGGGTCGGAGGACTTGAAAGCTCTGAGGAACGACCACATGTTGCCAATGAAGGGGAAGCCATAGTCGCCTGGAGGGAGGGAGGAGTGATGGCAGGGAGGCAGGCGGGATTCGTAGAGCCACCAGTTGAGGGAGCCGAGGAGGGAGTTGAAGAAGAAGAGAGCAGCAGAAGCGGCCATAATGGCCGCGGGCGGCAGCAGCACCAGCCACATGAGAAGAGCAGAGCACAGATTGGGTTGCGAGAAGTATGGGCAGAGTGTATAAGATGAGTGACGGCAGGGTTGGCCGGCCCTTATTTTTTATGCTTTTTGTCGTCTACGTACTGCCTCTCCCCCACAGCATCCTATTCCCTATTCCCTATTCCCTATTCCCTATTCATTTCATTGTCCCATCACGACCACCTTGAAATTTGGAATCACTGGCTAGCAGTAGTTGGTAGTAACAAGTTGGAGTTACGTGTAGAGCGTGAAAACATGGCATGTTAGCACGGGGAAGAAAATGGGGTAATAAAAACATGGAAGGCGGTAGCCTCGGCATTTGTCTTGTAGCTTTGTGCACCCGCTACACTTTTACTTGGGCCTTTACTTGGTTTTCTATTTTTTTGGTAGAAATCCAGCTTTGCCATTTCCTCTTGTCAGAAGCTGAGCGCTCCCTTAACTCATGATATATGTTACCACCCCCCCCCCCCGGCTCTTCCAACACGGAACGATGACTCCTCTTTTATCATACGAAGGAGGGGAGAAAAAACGCCTATTACTTGCTTTATTTGGTTATAAGACTTAAGGCACCAATTAATCTTGGTTTGCCCCTCTCCAGTTCTCATTATGAGTACTTTGACAAACACAATTAATCTTGGTGGGAACTTAATTCTAATTAAAACCCTGCCACCTCAATTCATTATGACTTGTGTCCGCGGATGGCCCAACATTGATTACTTGAGCGCACAGAAGCATAAGTAAATTTGACCGGGATGCACAACTATACGTACACAACCCGTGAGCTCTACGCATAAATAGGTCCGAAATGCAAGCATATTATATGACGAGTTTATGACGCTTTCCAACTTAATTGAGTTGGATACTATAAAATATTTTGAGTATTTCAAAAAAAATTATTATAAATTAATTATATTAATTACCAAAAAATAATATTAGTTACATTTAAATTAATTTATGTCATAACCAATATATTAAATCTCATTATTATATATATAATGGTTTTTAATGGTCTTTAAGGTATTTTTATTGCCTATTTTTGAGATTTCTTCCTATAAAAGGAAGTGTTTATCACATGTTCTAGAAGTACCTTTGAACTTTTGAGATTTCTCTCATCTTCTATCATACTATTTCAACAGTGTAGTTGTCCAAGTTTATTTTGTAAATTTTTATTGTTTTGTGTTCCTGTTTATTTTGTTAGAAGAGTTTATTTAATATTGAAAAGTTATTGTACGATCAACTCAATGTGATAAAATAATTCTTAACAATAATATTTTTTAAGCACGACTCAAATATATATTTACTCTTTGATATTGGCAAACTTAAAAGCTAATTTCTATGAACAACTAGTATGACATCATAAATAAATAATTAGCCAGCTAACTTTACATTAAGGGAAAAAATATCACTTTTAACCATGGGCATTTGATGCAATACTGTATTAACTTTGAGTACTAGCTGGCTACTTTAATTCCAAATCAAATTGCATAAATTTTTGGTCTTTGATGGTTATGTTCATAACCTATATATTAAACCCTATTATTATTATTATTATTATTATTATTATTATTATTATTATAATATATGATATGGCTTTAATGGTGTTTAAAGCGTTTTTATTTTCTAATTTTTGAAATTTCTATCTATAAAAAGCAGTGCTTGCCATACCTTATGGGAGAGCTTTTGGGTTTGCTTTTTTCTTCTATCATATTTCTTTATTGATAATAATATTATTTACACGAACAGTCACACCTGTCAAGCGAAAATAATAATGACCACAATAACCTATGCCAAGGAAAAAAATACTCCTCCAACAGTGATGCCAACGCAACTAGATAATGAGCCAACAACAAAAGAAATGTTGGTATTTCATAAAATTATTATTTCACAAGTCATGCATGGTATAGCAACTAATAATCACATTATTTATGTCCAATATATCTAAACATGGTTAGCTATTTTAATTTCTAAATTATGATTTTGTAAGTAGTGGATTCCTTTTGTATGAAATACACGAATGTTAATTGAATTATAAATTTATGTGAGAAATTTCACTAGTGATAATCTACCTTTAGTAGTGATGAAAACAACTATAGTAATAGAACCATAGTGAAGTCCAAGTTCACTGGAGATCTTAGCAATTATTCTAGTGTAAAACTAACACTTATTGTCGATGAGCATTTATCATGATGCTAACATGTTATTTAAAAAAACAGATTTGATTTTATTGCTCAATCTATATATATATGTACAAATGCTTGAGAGTTTGTTGCATTAACCAACGTCAATCCTATGATACAGTTGTGTTGCATGGACATAGAGCATATCAAGTAATCTCATAAGAGGATGGGCAAATGAGTATTTAAAGGATACCATAAATGTTGCCATAATTGAATTTTATATTTAATTAGATGAGGAAATTTTTATAATTGGTAGCCAAATAAAATACTATGAGAGTTAGAGTTTATTACTCTGGAGTTAACTAATAATGAGTCTAAATAGTTTTAAAATTTATTACCAAATATTATGTTGGCAGTAAAATTGACATAAAAAATGTCGATAATTTGTTATTGTCAAATTATAATAGCTATTGTAAAGAAAACAAAGGCATTAAAAGATGTCGTTTGAGAAACAATTCAACATGTTAAAAAAAGAAGTTATCTCAATCGATTATGTGAGATTAAATGTAAATCTGATAGATTCGTTAACTAGTGCCTGGGAATGAATTTAATTATTAGGGAAATGAGACTTAAGCTTATTTAAAATTAACAGTAATGGAAACACATCTTTGTGATTAAAGATCCCATAAAAGGTTTAATGAGTGAAAATAAGTTACTTATTAGTTTTTCTAACACTAAATTTTTTGTCCCTTCATGATGAAAGTGCTAAAATTCATTGATCGGAGGTTGAGTAAAAACTCTTAATGTTTTTCATAGTTCCTATAGATAGTGTATTTGTTGCAAGTAACTTGATGAAGACACCTATATAAATAGAGAGTTGGGCCACTCCTATAAAATCATGACAAAATTTTTAGAGCATTTGTTAAAACCAAGCACATGCACGAACAATAATGTGTAAAACCGTTGTTAGCAACATAAATTATCAAGGTATAATCCAATTAATAACGCCTCCAGTATATGCTGTAGATATGTCGGTTTAATAACAAAGTTACACTAACTTTTTTGTGTGCCAAGTTTTATTATTATAGGTTTGGTTCAAGTTGAAAGCCACTAGATTCAAAGTAATTATCTTTGTGAGAATAACTCAGATAATAATAGTCTTTTTGACATATGCGGGGGATTGTTATGATTGTGTAAAAAAAGAAAGTCCTATATTACTCAAATGAATGGAGGCCTTAGTGCATATATACTAATAGTGTGAACTTGAGCAAGTAAATGGGTTTGGAGAAAAAGTAGGATCACGTAAATGTAGTTGAAATTTACCGATTTCCCTTATGCTTAAGTTAGATGTGGTACCAAACATACTGGGCTCCCTTTTTTTTCTAAAATTTTAGGAACTATTTTGTGGAGTTACAAAAATTATTTATATAAAATAATTTTCTATTAATTTTTGAGATCTTCGCCTATAAAAGATAGTGCTTGTCACATATTTTGAAAGAACCTTTAAGCTTTTAGCCTTTCTCTCCTCTTCTATCGTACTTCTTCAACAGTATTGTTGTTTGAGTTTATTTTGTGAATTTCTATTGTTCTATGTCCTTGTTCCTTTTGCAAGAAGAGTTTGTTTAATCTTAAAAATTAAGTTGTTGCATCATCAACCTGGTGTGACATAATAATTTGGAGGATACTGCCATTAGGCACAATTTAAACTATGTTTTTACTCTTTGAAGCCAACAACATAATTTGTAGGGTGAACCATAAAGTGTTAATACTATTGGGATATCAAGCATGAATTGACTTGGTTTGGTAGATAAATAAATCTCATATTAAATAAAGTTGGGTTGGAGAAGTATATAAAAATATATATATATAAACTCTATCTTAAAGTTTTAAGTTAAGATATAATGTTATATATATCAACTAATTATATGTATCTTCTTGAAACTATTGAGCCCAATTGTGTCCTCCCTTTTTAGGATATCCCCAGGCCTAACAAAAACCATCAATACATGTCCTTAATCAACAAATAAGCAATTATGTGGCCTTAATGAATTTGCGAATTAAAGTTGATTTGGCAGATCGAAACCAATAAGCAAGCCTGGTAGTCTTGTCTCGGAAATATTGATGACGAAAGTACAGTTGATGTATGGATTATGTGGTGCTATATAGAGAACCAAGTAGTGCTTGCCACATTGGAAGGGCCCGTATAGGTGAAAAATGAAAACGATCTTGTTTGATGCTGAGTAAAGTGAAAGCATTTTGAAATGGCCTCATTTCTGATTCAAATCTGCCTCCGGATCTTGGTTGTCCTCTTTTACGCTAACTTATTCACGACATGTCAATCCTGCTCGCCTTTAAACGCCAACACGATGGACGCTTACCCTCATTTTTGTCTAATGGACGCACCACCACCAAGCGCCCAGTGGATTCGTGTTTGCATTATTCAAAATTATTTACAACATGTGCAGTTATCTCACCCGCATTAATCATTGCCTGTTTGCTCTTATTTGTCAAACTTCTGTGGTTCATATATAATTATGTCTAGGATTAGTTAATTAATCAATTGCCTTCTTTCTTCAACAGTCTCATGTTTGGTGCGTGTCACTGATGTGTGCGAGTGATGCTATCGTTTTCTAGTTTCATATCTACGCGAATATATGGGATGTGTCCAATAGTGGTAAACTCGTGCATGATGATATGTTATTGGCGATACACCCCTTGACATTTTTTATGAAAATAATTCTCTTGAAATTTGAATTTTATATAGATAATTTCCTAAACGTTAATTCATACAAAAAAAAAAACAACCCATATATCTATCTATTTACATTTTCATTAATCAAATAACGGGTAAATTAACTGTACCAAAGTACGTAGTTACTATATGTTTGCGTGATATAAATTTATTGTCAATTTTTTAAAATATAATAAAGCTAATACCACATGTAATCAAAATTATCTTTTGGGGCCCACGTAAGGGTGACACATGTACATACATATGCACACACATATATCTATATATTTGGCCAAATACATATATATATTAACCTAACCATAATATATATATATATATATATATATATTGGCCTGGGCTGGTCAAAAAATTATATATATTGGCTCCGCGTGTCAACGACTGGAACGTCCAGACCCTCAGGTCATGATATAAAGTGGTTTTTTCTTGAAAAGTGCCAATATACAGTACGTTCAACCAATTGGCGGACAC